AGCAATTAAGATAGTGAAATGTAGTCCACATAATACCTGCCCAAAGAACATATGAGGATGTTTTATAAAAAATATCAATGTAAGAACCAAGACTGAAGAAGAGTCTTTCTCCCTCCCTAATATACATATGACCCACACGTCTATTCCTCCCTCTTGACAGCTGGAATTACAGCAGGTTATGAACAAAATATGTTATAGACTTCTGCTTAAAATACCTAAACTTTCCAAAGACGAAAATGTTTGAATGTATGACTGCTACAATGTCCTTGAAGTAAATACTAGTTTACTGCATCACAGTCTAGATTGGAGTCTTAAGTTTGTGCCCTTGGTTTGGTATGTGAAATTTTGACATCTGACAATAAGGAACCCTGTTCTATGGAAGCTCTCGCAATAAGATATCTTATGAGCTAGCAGTTCACTGGCACAATGATTCTTTACACTTTAGAAGCCCTTTACTCAGCATGTTCTTCAAATTCCAAAAATACATACACCAAGATCTCTATACAATGGCAATAGTAAAACCAAAAAGATTGAGAGCAATGCAGCTGTTCTCCAAAGTTTTATCTGTCTCCTTTTATTACTCTTTAAAACCAGCCTTATTTTCCTATTTTGGGGGATGTGGGGGAAGTTCTATGAGATACATTGGCAAAAATGTTTTGCCTATATTAATGGAAGCAGGTAGAACATATCTATTCAAGATAGTATGATTCTTGTTAAATAGTTTGGGATAAAAATTATTAAAATCATTCCTTATGCCTCATCTGACTTTAATAGAAGCATATATCAGCACCACTCACTTTGATAAAGAGCTTTTCCTATGAGCTTAAACACAAGAATACTGCCAATGATCTGAAAGCAACACTGCAGATTTTATCTCACCTTATTTCTTTAATGGTACTGCCTAAATATTTACTCTTCCTATCATAATAAAATAATCTCCTTCTACCCTTCAAGTAACACAATGGACATGAATCACAGACATTTATTAAATGGAATGCAGATATTTGACTTGCCTTTCTGCTGCAGTGTCTCCATCTTAGTTCCTTAGAGAACAAATGCTATGTCAGGTTTCATAATTATAACTTGTGATGAAAATAATGCATCTGAGAGTGAAAAAATATTCAAAACACCCATGCCATGCGTTTTTTGCAGTACAGAGCACCCTTACAGTGAGTGGACAAGATGCTTTTGGTAAAGCTGCAAGGAAGCAGAATAATTCCATTTAATATAAAGTTTGTTACTTGGAAGTATAATTAAGGATATCTGCCAGTGATTTGGCCCTATAAACTACAAGACTGTTACTGGTGACCAAATGCCATCTGCTTTCTTTCACCACCAAAACTAAAACACATGAAAATGTTAACCTTAAAATTGCATAAAAACAAAAAAAATATTTGTGGAGAGGAGGGCTTGAGAAATATTGGGAAATATATGTATTTTCTAAAAGCAGACTGACCCAGTCATATTTAAAGAGACTTATGACAGTGTGTATCTATTCATAGCAACACACTTAAATGGATATATGCACATTTTATCATATAGATTAAATTATCATGAATCCAGACCTTTAAAATATGAAATTATGGACTTTGATACACCATAATTTCATTTTATTTATATCATACGCAATGTAAAAATGTATAGTCTTAACATATTTTCTCGAATCACATTTGCTTTGCATCCCTAAGTTTGAAATATGAAACAGTTGGAAGCACAATTCATATACCTATAAACCAAAGAAGGGTACAGTTTTAAATAATTATGTCAAGAAATGACAACTCTACTCTTTGTAGAAGCACAGATGAATAATTACGGAGCTGGGACACAATTAAGCAATTTTGACTGTCGTATTCTTGAGCTGTCTTTCTGATGTGAAATGCTGTCATGCCCAGAAACACACTTCACACTGGACAGGCATCTTCCACTTTGAGCTACACTTACGCCAGTGAAATGAGGTCATGGTCTGGTCATTAAATAAGGCTTCCTCATCTGGCTCAATGCCTTTTATCCAGCCAGACTTCCCCAGTCTTCATTAAAAGCAGGCATGGTACAATGTTCAATATTTTGACAAAAGAAAACATAAACATAACAGAATAATGAAGTTTAGCTCACCTACACAGTGAGAAGGAATACTGCATTGTAACATTAAACTGTTTTTTAATAAATGATTGTATCTTTCCATAAGACAGTCATATCACAAACAGATGCATTTCCAACAAAGGATGAAATGAAGCAAAGCACAAGAAAGTGTAGTGTTCTGTTAAATAAAATAGGGAATAATGAAAGTAAAAAAAAATTTATACAAAATAAAATATTTATGACTTAGTGATGACTGGTGATTGCTAGATACTTTCTCATTTGAGTAAACACAAGCTAGTCAGATGGAAATTTCTTGCTTTTATTCTCATTTTGTGTATTTTTTTCTTGGTGGGGTATTTTGCTCTCCCAAGCATTTCATGTCAAGACTAAAATGAAAACAACTCCCCACATCACAGCCTCTTTAGATCATCAGTCTGCCTTTTATGTTGAATAAGCCACACCATCTCCTGCTTATTATAATGGGGGGGGTGGGGGGAGGGGAGCCACCACATAAGTTATAATTTTTTGTTGGTTTGTTCTTTTTAGGGATTTTTTCCTAAAAAATCAGGTCTGAAAGGCCCACTGTTGTAACTGAATCTGGCAGAATACTTTCATGTGGCATCCACCAACATAAATACTAATCACTGCATCTCAATTCCTGGTAAGCACAGGCTGACACCATGCCTGCTACCTTAGGTGAAAGGAAAAAAACCCCACATTATTGGGAAGTTCATTATCATCAAGGTCTTATATATCACTATGTCAACTTATTAAGGAGTTTTTCTGATGAGCAATACTGGATATGCTGCAATCTTCTTCTGAGTTTGGATCAAGGTGTAATCTCTAACTAGTTTCAGAAAGCTTAAAATATATTACCAGCACCTGCCTGTTAAATCTGGCTGAAAATGGTCAAAAATATTGACAGCTATGTGGGAGTGGAACTGATGAACAGAGAACACAAAATTCAGGAAATGTGAAGGCTAGAGAATAAAAACCCATTATGTATGCAATGTATAACACATGACAGAACTCAAAAGTAGAGTTATTGTGCACATCATCTTTGTGATTTATGGAGGAATGATGCTTGCTGTGGTCTTCAAGCAGAGCTGTCAATAGCTGTACACATACTTAGCTGCATTTCAAAGCACATACGCAGAGAAAATTCTATGAGTCTTCTCAGACATAGAAAGAGTTTGCATGCATGTGTACTATAAGCATGAATATCCTAGGAAATAAGCACAAATTCTAAATAATTTGAAGTGCTTTACAATACCTGCATCAAATTTAATATTTATTTTAAATTAGCCACTTCTGTGTTATGTATATAATACTGTATGATGAGGGTAATTTCATAGCACCTTAAGAAGCATTAATTCATGCCATAAAAATAATTTACAATGATTTTACCATCAGTAATTTGTACTGAACCATTTATAAAGAAGAAAAAAAAACTCTTTAGTATGACAATAACAACAGTAAATTGGAGCCTTCTGCAAATTTTCTAAAATAAATGTGTGGTTTATCATAAGACTTAGTGGGTAAATAATTCAGAACTATACAAAAGGTTCAATTGTAGATATAAAAGTTAAAGATGTTATCCCTAAATTTGTTAAGTAATTTACCCTTAGCTATTGACTTAAAAAGAGGTTTAATCCAGAAAAGTAACTTCAAATTTGAGAGACACTTTTTTCCTCTTACACTATTAAGTTGGATGCAATTCACGGAGTAGACTCTTAAATGAAAGATCTGTTAGAAAAATTTTTTAAAAACTTCACCAGATCCAAAATCTGATAAGATAAGAAGAATTATAAAAGATGACATACATATGCTATACCTAACACAATTCAGCTGTTGCATTTGGCCAGACTCAAAGATGGTTTGCTGTGAATAGGAAATCTACCACAGCTTAAAAATAACTTACTCCATTCATTACATATATGAAGCTGAAATAACTAAAGGCAGTGGTAAACAATATATCAAAGCAATGTTTGTATCAGAACTGTTAACATTTTAGTAGTTATAAATTAATCAGTCTGAACTAATTTGCAATGCACTGGAATTGTACTCATGATAATGCATTTATCCAGCAACACTGTTATGGTACCAAACAGTGCATTTCCATAACCACTGCATTATTATTCAGCATTATTGGAAATCTGAGATAAATTATTGATGGTATACTTCAGAGAAAAAGCAGCACACAGAAAGCAAGTAGACTGAAAACTTGAGCAGAGTTTCAAGAAAGATCTGCAGTACTAAAGCACTCTGAGCACACCACAGATTGCTGTTATCAAGTACTGATCAACAATGGAAAAAGAAGGCAAAGTGGAGAATTCACATTCTCATTCCAATTGCTTCAGCAGGATGCCCAGAGTTGATGGAAGTTGTATTAAATGCTCAGATTACTGAAACTGTCTCACTGATGCTGTCAATGTTTATTAGCAGGACACCACACTAAGTAACATCATACAAAATTAGAATCAACTGGTTCATAAAAGCCAGTAAACACCATAGGTGTGAGCTCTGCAACAGACATTTGAGTTTAACATACAAGGCAGGGGACAACTTGTCAGAAAAAATTGCACTCTTTCACGAAAGTATATCACACAGTTGTTACATTTCCTTGGACAGTGTAAAAATATTCTTTTAAGCTCAGTGACACATATTAGTTACTTTGCTATTTGAAACAGAGAAACCAGAAATTTGATAATGTGGCCACAGCCCATTAGACAGGTACCTGTAAATTTCTACATTAAAACACAGAAAAATTACTAAGGTTTTTGTCCCCCATCTGACCACATTTATCAGTCATTTGAAAGGCTTCACCTCTTTTTTTACCGTAGCAGAAGATGCAGCCAGGCTCTTGGAGTTATTTAAAAATAGTGTGAATGAATCATATTATTGTTCCCACTTTCTCCTACCTTTGCATCCTTGGGCTTAACCACTTTCATGAAGGCACCTCTTATCAAGGCTTCCTCTCTCTCCCTCCTGGTTACTTTCCGAGTATCGAGAAATTTCAGGTTTGTCAATTTGTGCAGGACAAAATATCTGACAGATATCAAAATACACACAGTTAAGATCCAGTAATACACAAAGACATACTCACAGACTCAATGACTAAAAAAATGACAGCCAAAAATAACAAAAGCCCTTGTTTCCTCCCTGTATTTGCCTTTTTCATGCAATGTAGCTTATGTACAAAGTTATAATACTTACTTTATTCTCTCAAATGAAGCCAAATATTGGTGGATAAAATGCAATAATCAGCATGGATATGCATGTTCTCTCTTTATATTAGTGAGGTATAAAACATACCAAGGAACAGAATAACTTGGAAATTGTTTTGCATTGCCTGTTTGGGAAAAGGAATTTTGAGTGATACCAAAGGTTCCAACCCACACTGAGGGAGGAAATCAATCTGAGATATGGGAAATTGCCAGTCAACTTCTCTTCAGGAATTCTTACCATTTGCCAACACGACTTTGGATTTTTTATTTTATTTTCTTAAAAATACAATGATCAGCATTTGGAAGGAGAATTCCAATTTGGTTCCACCAGAGTGACAAGGTGACCTTACAGAATACAGATTCCAGCTCAGGATTAAGTGCAGAAGCACACGGGGAGAGACTATTTATGGGAAATATATTTTAAGAATTCCAAGTTCTTATTAGGATTCATCAGCATTATATTCTATTTATCATTTCTACTAGAAGGATAGCAGCTTTCTAGCCTGAGAAAAATACTACTGGCTTCTCACATGTGAAGGGTGAGAACATGGCAGAGCAAAACCAAAGCAAGGCACAACCATGGCAAATCCAAATATCTAATCATTTCAAGTACACATCATTTGCATTTAGTCAACCAAATGTAAAGCAGACACTGGAAAGTGAGGGCAATATCAGACTTTTCCTGGTAGGGGGTAGAAAGGTGATGATAATGTCCCCCAGCCTAGCTGTTTTGCATAAACACCAAGTCAGTCAGAGAGTTCCTCATCATACAGATCCTCTCTGGCACTGGGAGGAAGAAACAAAGAAATAGAAAACTCTGCATAACATTTCGGGAAAAAAAACAAAACAACACAGAAAAAAAATGTTTCAAAAGGTAACAGTTTATCTTATGATACTGTTGTCAAAACCAGATAAACATGTGAAAATTACTGCAATGCTCCCCCTTCTAAAACCAAGCAAAATTTAATGGTGCAAATAAAGCTTTCCATCAAATACACCATTCCTCTGAAGCAACACCTTCATAAATTGTTAACAACTTAACTGACAATACTCAGTTTTGAAATGCTCAGACAATTTAAATGTGAATCCTCAATCCATGGCTCTCAATTATATTGGTAGAAGAAAAAGAGTCACTTCACAAAACAGAACATCTAAGACCATTTTTTTAAGCAACAGCTACAGACCTTTGAGACAGACACATTCTCAGATTCATTCCAGCATTCCTGGCTGCCCTTCCAGTCCTCCCTGGCATTTTGCTGGCCCTTATCTTTCACTGGAGGAGAAGCTATCCATCTTGCATTACTGGCAGAAAAGCTCTGATGACAACAGATTCTTTCAAATGAAGACATGTACAGAAGGAAACAATATGTCAAGAGTGAAGAAGAGTGAAGCTAAAAATGAGTAAAGACACCCACTAAGTGTAGGGTGAGAAAAGATGAATATTCAGGTGAAGAAAACATCGGTATTAGAAAATCAGCAAATGTTTAATGATGGAATGAAATATGCCATTGAAAAGCAGGCTGTAACAAAAATGACAACAGAATAAGACAGCACTGTCATCTATGCTGACTTTGGATCACAGCCCTAATGTCAGTCTCTCAATCATCTCAAAAGAGCTTAAAATTATAATAGCATTCCTTGATACAAATGTATTTTTGTATTTTTAAGCCATCCTGACTGCATTTCAAAAAACAGAATTAGCACCAGTACTTGTCAATTCCAGAAACAAAACCAAAAAAACCTACCCACAAAAATTAAACAGCAAACTACTCCACAAGTCACAGGTTTGGGGTTGGTTCTTTTTTTCAAACTCGCACTCCTTAAGCAGAGCAAATACTAAAAAGTAGGTACCATAAATATTATCCCACTGGTAGAAGGAAGGCATATGTGTAACTAATTATTTTAAATGATGATTCAAAATGCAATCTCATTTATTAATATTCTTTTTACTAAATGTGGGACAAAAGGTATCTATGCTATTTGAAAATAATGCAATACATTCATATTAAATGGCTGAAGAAAAATAGCAAGCTTCCTGGATATATTTTAGTTAGAAATATGAAGATGCACCTTCAATCTAAATGTAACACAAGTTTGCCATAAAAAATACAGGAAAGGATTACCAAAGCCTGGGAATGAACACTTTACAATATCAATTCAACCCTTGTAAATTTAATCCAGGGTTATTTGTTGCAAAAAATCTCTTTACTGTGATGTATGACTTAGTTACCAAGGTTATCACAGCAGTATCCTAAAGTTGCATAGTACATAAAACATTTCGGTTAACAATGCAGGGAGGTTAACTCCCACAGATAACCTACTATCAGAGGGTTAGACCAGATGACATGCCTCTGTCAGCTTCCAGGAGCTATTGATGGTTCAATCAGTTTGTTTTGAAGGTAAAGTACAACAAAAGGGCACTAAACTTATTCAAACTGTCAACAGGGACTATGGAATGTTGCTTGCAGGTAAGTAATTTTGGGTGTTTTAAGACTATTATCAAACACCAATGGCTGCAGAAAAAGACAGCTACTAATAACACAGAACACAGCCATCATAAAATACTTTATGGCAGGCACTGGGACCCATAAATTGCATGACACATTGCACCTGTTTCAGACTTGTAAAATCACTAGTTAAAAGCATACTGGTTAATGAAGAAAGATCCATCTAGATTCCGCATTTTGTTTAGAAAGGTTTATTTAGATTTGAAGTTGGGGGTCAGGGTCTCCCTATTCCCCCTCCCCCTTTCTTTTTCTTCATAATTTTAAAACTTAGCCCTGCTCCATGTGTTCTGAAACTGCTGTTACTGGGTTTTAACACCTTAGTTGTTGTGTGAAAAAAGGTTATTATCTTCAGTGATGAGGATAAAGGTGAGATTTAAAGAGAGAAATGTAAAAATTAGACATACCAGGAAGGTGCTTACGGAGTCACTTTTCATTGCTTGCAAACTGATCATCTAATTCACAATGGATTAAATAAATTATTTATTTAAGTAACATTGCATCTCCTTTTGTTCAGCATCATCTCCCCCACCTTGACTCTTGGCAAGGATGCCATGAGTCTCATGAAAATAAGCTTATAGCGTATTTATCATACCAACAGGACCACTCAGATATGGAAAAAAGACCACAGAATATAAAATGTCATGTTATTTCCATCTTAGTTAAGTAAAAATTACAATAAAGATTAATAATTCATTTACCAATTTTGTATGGACTGCATGCAATAAACATCACTTTAAGACTCTTCATACAGACTTGCCAGGATATTGGAAAAGAGGCACATTTGCAAACTCTCCCACTGAACCTTTAGGGAATGACTGTTGTGAGAACTAAATTCTGTATAGTATTCCAGTTTGTACTAGAATTAACAAAAACTGGAACAATTTTTAAGTTTAAAATAAAAAAAATATCTGCTGTGAAAAATTGAGAAATATTTGTCCACAAGAATGCAAAAGTATCCAGCTCTACCTGCAGCATACCTGCAACATGCTCTTTGTTTTGGGAAGTGTTTACTTTCATTTTTCTATTTTCTGTGCTATTATATTTCCTTTCCTTAACAATCACAGAACATAAATAACATGTCTACTTCAAACATTGAAGGACTGATTACACTCTTAGTTACATTATTGTAAACTAGAAAAAATAAGTAATCTGAAGTTGGCTAAGTTAGATCAACATTTAAATGGGGAAAGACTAAGAAAAAAGAAATCAGAATAATTGAAACATATTTATAACAGTGAACTAGTGTAATAAACACTACATTCTGTGATTGTTTCTTCTGCATTCCCAAAAAATTTGCCCCTCTATCCCAAACAGCGTATAGCTGGCTACAGAATTTCCTCTCTAACAAAAACATTTGTTAAATACACAGATAAATAAGACAGGTCATAAACTTAAACCAGCATCTTCCAGAAGAGAGGGCAGGATGCTGGCATGAGGTATGTTAGAGGATCACAAGACCCTGAGCAGCCTTGGCACTGCTTGGTGATGACCATGCAATTCTGAGGGGCTTGCAAGTCATGCAGAAATCCACATCACCTCCTAATATTTTAACACACTCTGCTCTCCTTCAGTGTAGTAAACAACTCTATGAATTAGAAAAATCTTTCTCTAGATGTATAACAGTAATTATAGTTTCGCCTTGATTTACTGTGTTAGTACAGACAAATTTGGTATTATGGATTTCAATTTATTTGGCTGAAAAAAACATGGTAATTGTTCTTGTTCATGAGCCCTTCTAGTGGCTAGTCTCAGATGGACCTTGTGTGGCCATTTGATGTTTTTCAAAGACACCCTTCCAGCTACTGGTGAAGTGACAAGGCTTCACTCAAACACTGAAGTAGAACAGGTTCATAGATTATACAGATGTAAGGGATTATCCTAATCATCTAATTAAATTCATAAAGAACATATACAGAATTACCAGAGACTTCAATCCCTCCTGCTTAAAGAGAACCTCAACAGTAAGTTGACTGGTACTTATCATTATATATTAGCATTATTTTCATTAATGAGTGAGGACTTCTAGTATGCTACTGCTTATTGAACATATATCTGTATATCACCATGCAAATACAAGACTATTTAAAATAGAAAAGCAAATTCTGTAGCAATTAAAAAAATAAATAAAACAAAACCATAATAAAACAAAAGAAAACTGCAAGAACACTGAAAATGCTAGAAGACCCATCATTTCTCACAATCAAAACTGTAGGATAGGAATAGCTGATCTAGCTTGAAAAGTTAATCCATAGAAAATGCATGCACTTCCTTTCTTGTGTTATATCTTAAGAGGACTTCATAAGGTTATCATCATTTGCTCCCCCAGCCAAAGATAGCATATCTAGTACATGTACTTTTAAGCTAATTTAAAATAAACTCCGGCATTTGTCTCCACTTGCCCTCGTTTCCATGTCAACAGCATTTAATGAATGCATCATTCCAGGAAATGTCAATAAGGAGCAAAGAAGAATGAACAAGCACTGAAAACTTCACACATGGCATGAATTCTTCACAATCATATCGCTTTAATGAAAACAGGTGAGGTCACCTGCAGAATTCACAAATGCTTTGTAATACATTGTGACCCAGATGACTTTGCACAGTTCAGTAACACCACGTTTGAAGTTTTCTCTGCAAACAATACACCCACAGGACTGACCAACTGTGAGTACAACAGAAGCAACCAGCAATTACTCTGTTGACTTCTGCTACTTTGATCTCTGGGTCATGACCTTTGTTTTCCCCTCAATCTTCAAAGCAGAGATCAGAGACTAGGTTATTTTAGAGGACGCTGTTTTGCAAGCTATTTTTCTGTGTTTCTTGCTTCCTATTAGAGCCAAAAACTTTTAAATTTTCCTATAACTATTACATATTAGATATTCTGTTTTCCCTTGCCCTCACCAAAGAAATAAACCTTTACAAAATATTAACAACCAAATACAGAAAGTTTCAAAAATAAGATAAAGAGAACTTAAAGATTATTTTTTAATAGTAAGAAACTAAAGCCATTTTAACAATGATGGACAAAAACCCTGAGTCTTTAAAATTAACCAAACAATATCACAGAAGGTAATTTTCCATTTTCTTTTTCTGTCCAAGCAAAAATTCCAATAATGCAGAGATTTTTTTCATCAAATTGTTCTTCTACATATTTGAAATGTAAGAAGGAATAATAGGGATGGCAAAAAAAAACCAACTTTCTTCTTCCCCCCCCAAAAAAAATCATTCAAAAGTTGCTGTGGTTCTTAGACAAAAAGTAACTACTTTGAGAACAAAAACACAATAATGTTTCAATATAAAAATTAGTTTTAAGGTAAGACTAGAAAAGAGGTCTAGTAAAGAAATACCAAGGGATCACCTTAAGAATCAGATCATAATTTCTTGATGAAAAGCATACTTTTGGATATTTTCCAAGTATTTTTGACAAAACCTAATTATTTTTAAAGTAAATAATATTACTTTTAACCTCTGTTTTTATGGTCATTGTGAATTACTGGACCTTGAACTTTTTAACAAAATTATTTTCCATATTTTTTAACATTAAGATTTTGGGGGAGGTTAACAAATCTTTTCAGTTTGTTAGAACTAGAAGATTAAGTAAAGCTTTGATTTCTAGCACCTTTCTCTTTCTAGTTGAGGAATTAAATAGCTTGAACTCTAACTGAACTCAGTAGGAACAAAATTAAAGCTCAAGAAAAATGAAGCTCTGGTTCCAATGGTCACTGCAAAAATTTACAAAAAGTAGCCAGTTGAAGTTATGGAGAAGCACAATCTTTGCATAATTCAACTTCACATAAATGTAATCTTTTGATGGTTTCTGATAAATTTCTAAAAAAATAATCTTAGGGGAAAAAAGTTATTTCAAACCATTAGAAATGCTGAAACTGGAAGACAAAACTTGTGTTCAAGATGCTTCAGAAAGCGTATTGAAAAATCTGAATTAGCTAGTCAGAGTAAAATTAGAAGAGTACTTCTAATCAGTTCCACCAAGTAGGTGATGCATATTCCCTTAAAGACAGGCAGATAGATCAATGGATTGATCCATGGGTTTGGGTTTTGAATCTAATGCTGTCTAGCAAATACATTTCATATAATGCAACAAATAATAATGGAAAAGGATCAGGAAGCTTTCATTATAGCAGCAGAACCATAAATCATTCACTAATTAGAAGCCCATTCTTCTTTCTTAAAAGTACTTTAATCAACCTAGTTCATATGGAAAAAAACCACCCAGGATTTTGAAAAATTGAGAGGAAAGAAAATGGAAGCAATGTTGCAGTTTCCAGAAAATATATAAATAGAATCCCTTCACACTTTGACACAGTGGTTTACCACGATGTGACCTAAAACTACCTTGACCTCTCTGAAATCAACATTTTTGCATTGAAATGAAACAAGGGACATGCTTGTTTTGATGTATGGCTCTGTGACATATTATAAATATTACATCACATAACCACAGAGGATGTCAATCAATAAGGAATTTTTCCAGAGAGCACTAAATGAACCATGGGTTCTTGCCTCTGAATGGCTCCTTTAACATACTACTTTTGCTTAAATGATTAATAGGAGACATATTGTCAGAAAACATACTTAAAGTGAAAAACAGTAAACTGTAAAAATCATTCATTTTTTAAGCAATTTTCTAGAGCACATGTCACATAAATTTACATAGAGACAGCACTATTATAGTCTTGTAAGCTGGAGGATAGTAGGCATACCTTCCACTTAAGTGTGAAAGCAATGGGAAAATATTTTATTAAACTTAGGCTGCTCTACTACATGAAAATCAAAATGCTAAGCAAGATTCAAATGTAGACTCATTAAAATGTGAACGTGTGACAATCTAGAAATCCTTCTCAAAAATTTGAAACAAACTAAAAAGTATATGTGCACATCTGGAGCAGCTGTGCTGCTGTTTAACCTTCACCATTTCTGAGTGCAATGAATTCAAGCCCATAAATTCCCCATAAACTTGCTTTTAGTCTCCTCAACTTTGGATTGTTTTATCCTAATTCCTAGAGCACAGCTTGGATTACCTGAAGATAAGATCAGAGTTTATCATATAACTCTGAATATTGTGGATGATCCTAATAAAGAGCAAGTTCAGGCTCTGCAAGGCAAGGTGACCAGCACTGCTTGGCTCTGACTTGCCTCCAAATCCCCTTGGGAGCCAATGTGAAAAGTGCCAGCACACACAAGGACTGAAATAATGTCTCAGGTGGTAGCAAGGAAAAATACATCTAATGTCTTCTTTTTTCCTGCATCATCAATGTCTCACCTGTTTTAAGATTATAGCTCTGAAAATTACATCACTTAGCAGACATTCCATAAGTTATGGATCTATACTCATAACCATCATCAGTTACAAATATTTCTGGCTTTTTTTTCAAAATAATCCTTACAACTTTTAGCAATATTTCAGTTGGACTTAGAGTATTTTATCAAGCCTCCATATTAAATTTCAGATGACCTCTTGTGTAATCTAGCTCATTGACATTACATTATAAAGATAGTTTGGGTTTTATTATTAGAATGCAACTGCTCTGAGTGAAGAAGCACGATATAGGAGGAGTTATTTATTCTGTGTTTATAGTGCCTTGATAACTACAGCAGAAGCAACTTAACACCATATCAAACATAAGCAGAAGACAAGGCAACTGGCTGTCTCAGTGGAGTGATTTTTTTTTCTTTATTGCCTGTCACCCCTAGTATATGCAAACCTTGCCTTATCTTGGCCTTAAAGAAGGAAATGCCTTGAGTAGGGGTATATGACTACTTACATTCAGGAAATCCTGTGCACACCTGCTCAGTTCAGACATGTGTTATACAGCACTGAAGTGTTTCTTGAAACAGGGCTCCTGAGCATGATCTGACTGAAATGAGGGCTACTCAAATTCCCAGGTGTTGCATGGCAGAACATTACAATGCTTTCAGAATAGAGTAGATGTTTGTTTGAGACTCTGGGTTGATTTTAGTTCAGTATTTTTCCAGTAGTGAAACAAAACTTGCATGTCTTATTACATCTACAAATGAAAACACTAACCTGTATCTCTGGTAGTCATCTTCATCCTTTTCTTTGCAGACCAGTTCATTTGGGCAAGCAATGTTTCCAAGCAAACTGAGATACTGTAGTGAGGGCACAACTTCAGCCAAATGGTCCAAAAGGCTTTCTAATTCTGTTATGTGTCAAAGGTAGTGGGTTAAGGCTTCAATGACATTAATGAAAAAAGCATTTGGAGTTGCATCACTGCTGATTTAAACATACATTTCAATAACTGACAATCAAATTTAGTATGGCATTCAGGAAAATGTCACATTAATTGTTCCAAGGGCAAACAGGGATAAACTTCAGTCAGTTTTTTGGCATGGAATGAAAGAATTGGGCTGTTTTGTCATTCTTTTCTCCTCCTTTCTTTCCTAGGTGGTTCACTACCAAACATTAAAACTTTGACAAAATGATGGATGCTGTGTGGTAAAATGGCTAGCAATTGCTGGAGCCATGAAACTTTTCCAGCATGGAAACAAACAGTTAGTTTCACAGCACATTCATCACTAATATATTCAGTCCACTGGAAAATGAGTTTAAAAAAAAAGAAAAAGAAAAAGAAAAAAGTCAAACCACAACAACCCAGGTTCACTCCCAGCATATAAACACTTTGAGTGTCACAGCAACACATTTGTAACTACTCAATTAGGATATGCCAATTAATGCTTTACTAAGTGCAACTTAAAGGTTTCAGTGTTACAAATACTTTATATATGAACTTTTAAAGGCTAGTAAAGCATACAATTTTTCATTAAAAGAGCCTTCTATTTTGATGTTCATGAGGCTTTTTAACTTAACTGTATTTTTTGGGACATAAATAAGAAGGGTACATCTTCATTATTGTAAAACTGAAAAAAATAAACAAGCAAACAAAGGTTAAACTGACTTTAACTACTGCAGTACTGGAAAACACATCTTAGGATTAAGCCTAACAACAATATTCAACCATTTTCACCTCAATTTGTTAATTGATCAAATAAATATTTTGTTGTTATGGCATAGTATGGCAATCTCTAAAAATTGAAACATACATTCTAATTTGCTTCAATTTACATACAAAGATATTAGCATGAGTCTCAAAAAATATGCCGTGCGTGTGTGTGCGTGAAAAACTTCCAATATTTAAAATCAACTGACTAAAACAACAGTAATAAATATTCAAGACCATTAAAGGATATTTGATTACTCTGTTTTTATTCTCCCCTACTGTTAGAGACAAACTATTGTTTTAAATCCTCAGTTCACTTTCGTTGCTATTATTTATACTTGATTTATGTGTTTCTCTTATCTTTGTTATTTTTAGCTGATGGAATTTACTTTATTTCTTCACCCCAATATCTTAAGGGCAACAGAAGCAATACAGAATGGAGAAAACAGCTTCATTGTTAAAAATGTGGTCTTCCTTTTGTAAACCTGAAATTTTAGTTTATTTCCAAACACATATGAAGATCATACCAACAATTACTAATTCCAATATACTAAAATCAATGTATCTACACTCATAGTTAGTGTTCTGTCCCATAAGATCTAAGGAATTATACTTAAATATTTTCTATGACTGAGGAAAATGAGGGTTTTAAATAAGATCTATAAATTCATTGAAAAGATAGGAATGCTGACTTTTAATTTGGCAAAGCCACATTACACACTGCTTTATACCAGTAATTAATCTACCAAACCCCAAGGAAAAAAAATTATCTTTTTGTAGCACCATATGATTTGTTAGCTAGGATGAATTACCAATCCAAATTTGTTGCTCATTTTCATACCTGGACCTTAAGCTCACACATAAACTTTTTCATGGCTCTTTCAGGAAGTATGTGACTGTGATGGGAAACTCACAAACTGTTTTTCCACACATGTTCAAGTGTGGAAAAGGCTTTTTAAAAGTTTCCAAAGGCTGTTAGAGAAGTGCTTGAACCTGGCACCCTCCCTCAGCCAGGAGCAACACTTAATTTCTCTCAGGATTGCTTAGGTCGCAAAAAGGCTCCCTGAGAGAAATAGTTTATTATTACAAAAGACAGCAATTGCCATAACAGCAATCACACACAGGAGGTTGGCTATTGCAAGACTTTGATTGTATCTGGTAATTTCCTATCAAAAGGAAAGAAAAAACCATAAAAATAACACCCCAACAACAACCAAAAAGCCAAGTCATTAATTTTTGCTTATTTTATGAAGCAAACATGCAGGACTTTTGCTTCTCAGTTCAGCAGAACTGTTTCTTGTGTGAAAGCTGTTCTCCCCAGAAGTTTGCTGAATGTGGAGCATGACATGTATTCAAACTTCCATCTGAACATGCAGCCTTCAAAGTAAATAGCAAAATGTATTTACAAATGTTATGAGAACAGTGTCAGCTTAGATGTGCAAAAAGTGTAAGACTACACCCCAAAAGCCTATGGAAAGCAGAAGAGAGAGAACTTATATTCACCAAGAATTTTAGGTAAATAACAGGAGTTGATAATCTGCATTCCAAAAATCTAAATCTCCCAAATTTTGAAGTTAGTGTCTAGATTCTAATATCTTATAGCTAAACCCTGAACATTTCTTTTCAGCTGCAAAAGCACCTCCTAAAAACTAGAAGCCCCATTCACCTAACATCACTGTTATTTTTTACAAAGCATGTATGAAAAAAAATAATATCCTGTTAAAATTCTCATGATTAAGTATTTCTCAGAGATGATTCATAAGTCATGGTGCACTTCTAGTGTAGTGCTTAGTTAATTAGCATGTCAAATACTTATTTAAATCACAATACTGGAACTATATGATGCCACCAAAAGCATTATGTCTTTATAAAACAACACTAGGAAAATATGGAGAGAGAAAATCAAAGCAAATCTGATATTTTATTGCCAACTTCCTTTTTATGGTTTATTGTTGCAGTCCAAGCAGTGCCATATTGGTGCAATCAGAGCCAAAGAGCTGCAAAATCCTGCTGAGTCGCTTCTAAGACCAATTTCAGCTCTATTCTCTCCAAAAAACAAAACCTACAATTAAATCCATGGACAGTGCTAGTGAAAATATATTTATTTAGAGCTCTGTAAAAATAGCTTTTGACTAATCTGTCTAAAGTCAGTGCCACTGATCACCAGGTGAATAAGTAACAGTGATGCCAACACTTACACTATAGTCTACTGTTTGAAAAATGGTTTAAAGTATTGCTGTTGTGCTAATTAAAAAGCCTTAGTGTAGTAATCCATCTCCTAATTCAAGTGCCATCATTACCAATCTGTGAATGCCTCTCTTTCTAACAGATACAAAACAAAATAAAAACTGTAACAATTAAAATTTTTAAATCATCAGCTCTACAGCTCACAAGCTATAATATTCTCAGGAATTACACAACAATGGTTCCCTCCAAAAACCTAACTTGGTCTTCAGGTACAATTAACAGCAACACACTGGACATATTTTAAATTTTCATCCAAATAACTGTACTTATTTCTTGCATTATTTCTAGTTTTAAATTAGGGAAATGTTTAAAGAACTGGGTATTTCTCGCAGGTGAACTTTTTAAGCCCCTTCAGACTGTTACAATGTGCATAGCACAGGTGCACATTTAGACTGCTCACAAGCAGACACACACAAGCATCACACACATCACCAGATTCTCTGTTCAGAAAGACAAATGCTGCCAGCAACACTGAGACGGTAGTAATAGAATTATTCTGAAAATTACAGCACTATGATGGGTCCAGCTTAGCTGTAGAACAATACAATTTCTTGCAAATTTCATGGAACCAAAAATATCCTACAAATAAGCACGTTCTGACTTGCCTGTTTTCGCTCTCTCTCATACTCAATTCCACTGCTTCTGAGGTTCTCTCAAAGGCAAAAAACAAGCAAAAGCCCAAAGCAAATCCTTTCTCTAGCTAAGAGTTAACTGTCCGTGCAAGCTTGTAGCATTTTAATTTTTGTTTTCTAGAAAATCCTGTGTCCTGGACTAAAATTCTAGTGGCTAGCCAGGACTACATCCCCCTTCAAACCATTCAAAGATTAGTTCCCAGGGAATATTACATTTGCACAGGACAAAGTTGTAAATTCTGAGTGGATAGTGCCACTTGACTTAGCAGTTTCAGGAGAACCTCACAAGCAGGGACAGTCATTTTGATGCTAAGCTCTGTCTTTTGACAGCAAGCCTAGCAAAGGACTATTCTGTTATACTTCTAACAGGTTGAGTGGATTCACAAAGAAACTATTTTATTATGTTTCACGAGTTCCTCTACTGCAGACTTCTGTGTTCTTCTGAATTCTCTTTAGCTGTGTCTTTTCTGCATATTTCCAGGGCAGAGACACTGCATGGAGAGTAATATAAAGGTCAGCTGCTTTAGGTACTGAGCACTAATGCTGGCCATTCCCAAACACCATAGCATTTCTTCCTTCCTTACCAGCATTATTGGTATAACCATATTCATGCTTGTTCTTGGGAAAAACTGCAGGTCAAACCCATGCAGAAACATAATCTATGCTAAGTTTCTAAATTAATTTATTCTGTCTAAAAAAACTTATACATTTCCTATCTCACCATACAATTACCTTTTACATATAGTTTGACATACGCAAGAGAATCTGGGATTTCTTTCTGTTAACTTTTTGTCTACTAGCAATTCTTTTTACTAGTCACACACTCAAATACAGAAAAGTAACCACTCTTGTTCTCTCTCCCATTGCTTTCCAAGTTGCTCCTCCATTATCTTTCAAAAAGTCGTTCCACTTCCCCAAAAGTGTTGCAGAAGAACTTTCCATGTTAATGAACTTCATTGACTACAGCTTTTGGAGGTTCTTGGAAGCATGAAGACACAGTAAAGAGCAATCACCATACATTCAAAATATTTCTGAAATATGTGCATGAAAATATCAGGAATATCATGCAGAATTCCAGATCATGACATAGGAAGTCCCAAAACTGTCATTCAAAAGTTTTCTGCCAACTAATCACCTGTCATGCAGTTACTGCCATCAACCTAATATTAAAACAGCTGAATAACACTGCTACCAAAGTCATATATGAGCAAGGTACCTATATTTATTCCCAGCTGAAACATTTGCTTCAATTAAATTTATAACAAACATGATGTAGCAATCACAAGCAGTTCCACATACAAATAGCCTTGAATCAGAAGTTACCAATTCTCCTCTGAATGCAGCATGAAAAGATCTTTGCCACCTGAACGCTTTTCCATTAGAATGTGCTAGGTCTTCAAGGTTGGATAACCACAGAAATAGCTTGCAATATGCAAGTATACATCTCCCTCTTCTCTGTGTGCAATAGGATGTCACACACGGTCATTTGTATGCCACTTTCTGGCTTGAACCCTATCAGGTAGGGAGATAGGACCCTGAGACAAGGCCTTGCTCACTGACTTTGAAACCACTTTGCTCAAGAAGAAAAAGGTACAGAGTGGATGGTAATTAACTAAGTTCACATATCTCATGAAGAGCTTCCTGCATACTGAATATATGGGGAAAAAAAATCCCATTCTGCCTACTGGAGCAGCATTAGTTTTCTTTATGTAGCTGGAGTTGCCAGTGCTTTTAAAGGCATTTTAGAATCCCCATAGTTCCAAGGCTGCAGATTTGAAGACCATATTTCAGCGTTATTAAGTAAAAAGTATCACAAAGGAAAAAATAAAGTAGCAGGTCACAATTTTTTAAAAAGTTCTGATACCTGCAGCTCAAATCCTGCAAGCACTGCTCTAGAACAGCATAAGGAATCACCTGGACTGTGGACTACTTCTGTTTTCCACAGATGTATAGAAGACTACTTCTCTCTTCCTTGATGGCATTCACAGGACTTAATTTTTATTTCAGGTACACTTTATTCTAGAAGATTCTTGGCTCATAAGATACAGAAGTTCTCTAACAAGCCACAGAGATTTCACTAAATCCACAGTTGTGGTGTGGAGAACTCAGAAGCCTATGTAGGAAGAGTTCTGTACCACCTCAGTTGTCTGTTTAGAGGGAATGGGGAGTCATAGGAGACATTTTGTAACTTTAATGTATTTACTCAATCTAAACATCAAGTCTTCAGCACTTAATATAATGAGATTCTGGTCAGACTTCTGTGTCTTCAGGCACTTGAGGACAATTTAGGAACAAGCACACAGGCAAAGTAAATTATAATCTATAGTTCTGGGGTTAAGCAAACCTGTAACACTGCTGGAGCTCTGCCAGGCTGGTGCTGTGCCCACTGCCCTGGGGAGCTGTTCAGTGCCCAGCCACCCTCTGGTGAAGAACCTTTTCCTGATATCCAACCTAAACCTCTCCTGACTCAGCTTCAGGGCATTTCCTCAGCTCCTGTCAGTGTCACCTCAGAGCAGAGATCAGAGCCTGGCCCTGCTCTTCCCCTCAGCAGAAGCTGGAACTGCAGTGAGCTCTGCCCTCGGTCTCTCCTGTCCAGGCTGAACAGACCAAGGGGCCTGAGCTGCTCCTCATTCAGCTTCCTCCAAGCCCTTCACCATCCTCGGGGCCTCCTTTTTGTCTGCTACATCTACATTCAACACCTTTTTCTCAAGAAATTTTAGTACAAGTTCCTCAAAAGTATATAGAATGTATGTTAAATGTATGACCAGCTTACTGGACTAGGTAAAGAAATAGTTTTATTACAAAGAATCACATATCTGGTTTATTATCAGATTTGTCTGTTTACAAGTGAGGCAGTGAAGAGCTTCTAATTTTCAGCATACAGCCATGTGTGTGTGTGTATATATATAAATATAATACATACATATATCTGACAAACTATCTTTTGATAGTTCCTGAAATTTTGAAGCTGCCCATTTGAGTAGCTTTGACATATAATATAAAGATTGAAATGTAAAGGAAATTGAAAAGTCCACACTATATTGTTCCATACTGGTCAAGATCAGAGAGTGAAAAGCCATGAATTCTCACCCACAGGGAAATAAAACTATTTAGAAGTTTCCTGACTGATTCATAGTATCTGGTTAACACACTTAAAAGGAGAAATGAGGCTTTCCTTTACAAACATAGGTGACTACAGTCATAAGTCCTCCTCCAAAAGTAACTTCTCTTCTGTCCCCATCCATCCTGATCTGCACTCTTTCTGCTGTCCACAGTGTGTGAGAAAGAAACTAAGGTATGTTTCCCAAAGTAAATCAGGCTTTTTAAAAAATAACCATACTATATGCATGAAATAAAGCATGTTAGATTCATAATCCAACACACTGCACAGTGCTGATGATTCTCCTTTAGGTATTTCCATTACATATACTGCATTTTAAAATATTTTAAACAGATTATTCATTACAGGAAAGTTGAACGATAACACATTTATTTGATTGTAATATTTTAATTTGCTTCTTCCACTTCTAGCAGAAAAATTGGTAGTGGCTGACTGTAACTGCAATAGGCAACCAGAAGAAAAAAATACCAGATGATTCTTCTTAGCCTTTGCCTGATTTACAGATAAGCTTTCACATTTGTACAGTATTCAGATATTATGTTAGGAGGGCCCAAATGTTATTTACACATGCAATGCCACACAATAAGTGAACCACGCAAAAGGAGCAGAAAGCTCTTATCAGAACTATCAAAACAGGATGCGGATCTAAATGAAGCCAGAATAAAAGGAGAGAAGAATACAGTTATATTAAGAGATACTCAGTAAAGCTCTCATATGTGTTCTAAAGTTTACATGCTATTCCAATTTTCAAAGGGATCAGTTTGGCTTTTTGTTTATTTTAATCTCTCTCTCACTCTCTCTCTGTATATATTTATGTATACATGGCAATATTCCACCCACTGAAGTTTTATTTCAGATCAGTATTCTTTGCTCACTTTTGTCCTTTATATAGTGCTACTCTCATATACTGAACAATCCTTTCTGTAATGCATTTCATTATTCTGTTAAATGTATTTTTTTCCTTAACATTTTTAAAGAATTCTATAGAGAAATAATTCATTAAAAGAAGTGATTAAAGTTCAAATAAGACGCTTTTCAAACACAGCATTAACATGGAGGAGAGGAATCTGGAGGGCCTCTGTGCTTCTGTACACTGATGTATCCTCCTTACAAGAGATCACTGCTCCCCAGGGCTCAGGATGCTAATGATAGACAGCAGTTAATTTTTCTTCTCTGGGCAGTTTGTATACAATAGGTGTTGTACAAGTATTTTTGCAACTCCTCTATTAAATTATTTGTAGCTACAAAATGTATATATTATTTCTAAAACTTGGGTAGCTCAATAATCTCAAATCTCTAACTTCATAGTTTTTAGATTGAATTTAAAAAATTCCCAGGACATATCAAATCCTTCCTGACTTTGAGAGCTCACACACTTGACAATACTATTCTAGTCTGTCTGTGGGACCAGCAGAAACTCTTCAAAGACTGCTACTGACAGGACAATTTTTTCCCTCTCATTTTGTTCACTGAGTTAGTATTGAATACCTCTGCTCTCTTTTTGGGAAGTGTGAAACTCCTCCAGGAGTTTGCCCATAGGACAAATACACGTACGTGCTTTTTTGGTCTTATGGCCAAAGTTACACTTCATGGTTTGTAAGTGGCATCACCAAAAATGTTCTTGTACATTCTTCGTGAGTTCAGATTTTATCATGGTAGCAAATGACAGAACAATAAGACCAGTTACTCAAATCCAACCCATAATACCCTGCATTAACCATAAATCTAGCCAAATACCTAGTACAGTAATAATTGTTACTGTTCTAGAGACACACTTGGCAAATTTCCACAGCTCCAAGAAGGAAAGTAACTCTTCTGATATTTATTTATAGAGTCAAAAATAAATGCAGAAATCATAGAATCTGCAGTTACTTTTATTCCCCTCAATAGGAGGATTTTGCTTTAGTAGGAGGTAAATTGCTCTCAGTTTACATTGTCTGTAATAAAACCCTGCAGTTGAGCAGTCTTGTCCTCACACTGCAATTACAAGGCCAGGGCTTTAGCAGGCTGTGCTCTAAGACACTGCAGGCCTCAGTTGGCCTTTTGGCCACAGTTTGATCAACCTTCATTTTTGCAAAATCATATATTACACATCTTCAAATCTCCAGATGGGTCAAAGTCTGAGAAAATTATGGAATAATCAAGACAATGCCCATAGACTTTGCAGATAATTAGTTTTTACAGACCATTATCTGTAAGCCTACATACTAGGGGCTCTGATTCAGAGTATTTCGACAAATGTTGAAGTATCTATTCTTAATAAACAGAAATAAGCACTAACTTTAGGCATATGAAGAAGTGACTGGTTACAAATGGACTTAGTCATACATCAAAAGACTTTACTGTATTAAAACCCTGATTTGGAAAGCATTTTATGTGAATTTATACAGAACTGGAATACCAAGAAGACAGTGACACGCTTTTACAGCTGCAGTTGCACAGCAGCTAGCCAATTGTGCATATTACCAGTTTCATGAAAATAGAGACAATCATTAAAATTATTATGTGGGTTAAATTAATTTTATCTTACTTTACTTTAATGCTTTAAGAGCTATTTAAAGTATTAAAACCTAATAGTGTTTCACTGCACACTCTATTCCACTAGAGGTCAGCCTGCAACAGAACCCCAAGCAAACACAGGAACTGCTGCACACGGGTAGTGCTGACATTATTTTCTTTCTCTATTTTATCTATTAGAAAGATTTCTTCGGAGCCATAACTTAGATCTCTCACAAAAATGGAGCAACAGGAAGATATAATGGTGCATTTCATTTATGAATGACCTGTAATAAATTACTATGAAGTATTCCAGGTGCCAAAAGAGAGAATGCTTTGTCGGCACATGAGCTATATTTCACGTACCTTAATTTGGCTGACACATAAAACTCATTTGACATTTTGCAGGTATTTCTTTGAAAGGATATTTGGTTCTTGTTGAGCGTTAAGGTATGGAGGTGGGGTAACCTGGGTAACAGAAGGTCATTTCCAAGTAGATTGTTGTCCAAGATCAGCTCTTCCAAGTAACTGAATGTTTTCAGTCCTTCTAGTGACCTGCAAACGACAAAGGCAACAGGAAAAATGATACTCCACTAAATCAGGGAGGCCATTATGAGCTGAAATAAATATTTTAACCTTCCCTTTCAGGAGTGGGAATAGTTTTGGTTTGGGCCTGTCAGAAGAGTGAATGACAAGCATTAGTGGCAAGGGGAGTGCTGGCACTGCAACACATCCTTCACCTGCTGGCAGGATGAAGGATGCGGGTCACTTAGTGAGTAGCCAGGATCCAAAACAAAAGGCTTCAGATATGGGGCCTGCAGGATGAATTTGTCAATGTCTTGTGCCTTCAGGCACCCAGCCTCGCCTGACCCTAACCTCCATTCCCAAGATAAATAACTCTGTCACAGTTCACCTTCATTCCCTGGACACAAATTTAAGTTGTCATCCATCATTTCTGCCAAGAAATATCATACCCTGCTAACAATAATAAATACTACTTCGAGTATAATTTCTTAGTAGTTACCTTGCATGCAATAATAGAAAATGTAGAGGGGATCCCCCCCCTTTTTTTAATTAACCTCTTAATTAGCTTTTTGAGTTCATGCAAACAAAATAAAATGTTCTCTATAAAATAAAATGCAGAATTTCTCTAGACAGAAAAGGAATTTTCTTTCCTCCTTCTTGGAACTTACTGTCCCACTGTCAAGCCACAGGTCACACTGCAGAGAGCAGCTTTAAAAAGGAGCATTTGACAGCATGGTAGCAAAGATGATTACTTGTAAATAAAAAAGGAACTGGAAGCATTCATTTCTCTCACAGCAAATTACCAAAAAAAAAAAAAAAGGCAAAAAAACTAAAAAAGAACATTTCAGTGCCTTGTTAAAGCATCTATTCTAAGCCTTATTCTTAATATTTGCTCATTCTAACAGTAAAAAACTCCTACATATTAATCAACTAAGACACATGATATACAAAGAATACACACAGGCTTGCATTCACAGCTCATTCACCTACCAGACACCTAAAGATATGCTGAGATTGCATGACTTGACAGCTGATCTACTATGCCTACCAGTGGGAAGATCATCACTGTATCTCCTGGCTCTTTTATAGAATGTGATGAATAAGGGAGATGCAGGTTATACTATTTATTCAGCTTCCAATGACATTTATACTGAGGGGATTTCCTCACCCTCCTTCCCAGGTCTTGGCAAAGATCGAAGTGCAGCCAAGGCCCTGTTAGAAGGTTCCACAGATACAATTACTGGAGGAAAACACAAGTATTAATAGAAAAGACAATTTAACATTCATCTGTGCAACAAAAACAAGATACTGCTTTTGTAGCTAGAAGTTACAGACCACTTATAGATCATACTTAGACAGCTCAAGCAACCAAAAGAAATCAAGTGTGTGACCTTTACACTGGGTACTGCACACTGAACTATGAATATTCAAGCAATATTTTTTGCAATACTGCAACAGTGTATTTCAGTCCAGGAATTCCAAAGTCTCTTTTCTTGAACAGGAGGTGCAACTATCACTAATGCTATTTTGATTCTCAGCAGCTGGACCTGCCACCTATGGACCATGGCATTTCTGTATCATTACAGTTTGATACTACATTTGATGATACAGTTTGTGAAGCTGAAAAAATAAAGGCCTCTATTATAAACATTTTATTGAAATATTCACCGCAGTAACAATTACCCATTTTACATGTGCCTTTAACCAACACATTGGGGAAAAAACATCTCAATTCAGCCTAAATAAACTGTTCACCAATAAAAGCTGTGCTAGTAGGCTGCACTAAACTAGCTATTTCAGCAAAAGGTCACAGCAGACTTGGTATTGCCAAAGTCAAGATTAGAGGAGAAAGCAGCAAACATCTTAGACAGTGCTTTCCACCAAGTACCTTTAAAAGGCAAGAAAACTCAGAGGAAGTAGCAGTGAGTTTATCAAGCTGTTATGAGTTTTCATTTCAGTTTGACAAACCTAGTTTAGCAAATTCCCCTTAAATACTCTTTATTATATAAATAGTGGATTATTTCCAAACCTCACATTTCAATGTATGACTTCGACTTGCCAAAAGGGTTCAGAGAAGGCCACCTCCTTGTCAGCACCACAGAGCCTTATGGGATGTTAATAGGTCCTTTGTGAAAAAACACTGCTTGGGCTCTGGTCAGTGTCAGCATCAAAATACACATTGTTCTTGAGTTATGTTATGCAAATATAATACTCTTATCATGAGAATCAGCAAATGGTTGGCAACCGGCAAGGAGAAGAAAGCGCACATCCAAAACTGCTGCAGGGGAGGCATAAAACAAAATGACAAGCCATGAAGTGGGACAAAAGGCCCTGAAACACTAGAGGGAGTTGCCTAGTGAAACAGCCTTTCTTTCACAACCCTGGGCTGAACACAAGGGTACTAGTTCCATAGATAGGCAGAGAAAATTGTGCGCAAATCTCCTTACACCTGTCTGGTTTTGATAATTTTTGCCATGTAATGTTATTAGCTGCTCAGTTAAAAAGGAGCCATGTTACACAGGGGGTTGCTTATAATTGCTGTTTTCATGTCATCAGAGCAGTGTGCACTTGGTGATTTAATCACCTAAATTCAGAGTCCAGGGAGATGGGAGGGGTTGCCACAGTACAGAGAGTGTAGCCATTAATATAAATTTACAGCCATATGTTGTTTTGGTATTAATGGAATTTTTTGTTTTAATCTTAAGCAGAAGAAAAAAAGAGCACCAAAGCAAAAATGGTAAGACATAGCAAAGAAATAAAAAAGGAAAAAATATGTTTGCTATCATTCAGTGTTACTACCTACTGAATTCTATGCAACAGTCTCTACCACCATAATATATTAGGAAATATTGCCCAGCAGTTGTACTCCAAAGTGTTAAAGTTTTAAGTACAATCCACACAATTGGTTTTATGGTACAAACTTCAGCAAGTCCCATAACTTCCATAAAGCTTCGATCTCCCATCTGCAGATGGGGGGGATAAGAAAGGATTGCAATTGTAAATTGGTACAGAGAAAGTATTTTTGAGAATCTGAGACAGAAATCAGTACAAAATACCGTCATTTTTATTTTTAATGAGGTTGAGCAAGTAATATTAATTACTACAAGTATTTCCTTATGAGCCCATTACAAAAGAGGAGAGGAATGCTTACATATACACAGCATAGGAAGAAGGGCACAAGCAACCTAAGAGGCGAGTATAAAAGAGGGGAATAACTTAAGCAAGAGTATAAAACTAAGTCTAAAATCAAATCTGTACTGTGTTCTCATAGTTCACAGAATAAAAAAATGTCTCCTCATGTTAGTATACTAGAACAAATACACAGTCTCACCACAACAACGCAACCAGCACTGAAGGGCTGGTGGCAAGTAGTTGTTTCCCTTACTTTCAAAAGGCTAAGAAACATCACTAAGGTGGATTGCATGTTGCTTGTCCCCGCTCTAATGTCATGAAAGCTGCCCATTATCTCACCCACAGGTACCGTCTCAGTTACCTCATTGCAGGGCTCACACTGCTCCCAGAGGAGAGCAAGTGTTGCCAAGAGATTTCCACTGCAATTTTCAAAGTCACATCAAACCGACAAAACATCACAACGTATTCAGTGCCGCCTCATTCAAACAGAAAAAAGTTTAAGTTTCCACTGTAATTAACCCTATCCTCGTTAAGATAATTATGATCAAGCTCCCTGTCACAGCTAATATCACAGCATCATTGCCTATGGCTCACGCTCTGCCCTCATTAGCTTACAAAAACACCGCGCTAAACAGGAAACCCTCTCCTTCTGCAAAACGACTTAAGATGTTCTGTAAGTAGACAGTAAATAATCCTTTAGAATATAAAGGTCTCAGAAATGCCATTTTATCCAAGTCCTTTGGATAATCAGTATGATTTCTTCCAGCTTTCTTTTCCATAATTCATTTATGGTTTATAACAAAGTTTTAATCATAAAGGAATGTCATGACAGAGATTTTATTTTTTTAATGTATGTGTATGCATGGTAATTGTCAACTACACTATTTCATGTGATCCCTCTGGCCTGACAAGGATTTGGTTACAACGAAAGTAAAGAGCAACTCTTCATTTTGGTAATATTTGACAATGAAAATATGAGATTTTATAAATGAAAAAAAGCAGAAGCCTTGCAAGTAATAGACAAAACCCGGTACTCTGCAGTTGTCCTTGTTCAGAAAAACAAGCTGCTCAGAAGCATATGCTACAAAAGAAGAGTTCCTCACATTTTATCCCATCCCTTCATTAATAAGACAGCTGCCTCATACCTAATTGACTTTTTCCTCCTGTTTAACAGGAAAAGAGAGAGCAGTTAACAATATGCAAATGAGAGATTTTGGGTTTAGCCTTGAAATTGATTTGCACTTTGTTGACAAGAGATAGCCATTAGCAGAAGTTAAAGATGGGGCTGTTACAAAACAAGAGCTTTTTAAAATACCTTTTCCTTGCCTTTAATGCTTTAATAGATTACAGGAGAACAGAATCAACATGAGAACCCTAGTACTAGATAATTTCAGTATTTAAATAGAAATGCAATTTCTATTTCTCCAGCACCTGCCAGCCAAGGACTACAAAGCATTTTTTTGCAAAATATTAATGAATTACTTTTCAAAAACCTGCTGAGCTTAAAATTCCATTTTGTAGTAAAGCAGAGAGAGGTTAAGTGACTAACAGAAGGTGACCTCCAGCAATTTTCCAAGAGACAAGAAATAACACCCAGAACTCCTGACTTCTAGTCCTTTGACTTAACCTCACCAAAGCAAAACAAAGCACAATAAAAAATGGGTATGTATATATATATATATATATATATATATATATAAAAATATATAAATATATAAAATAGAAATAAATCAGGTGGATAAAATACAAGTAAAGCAGAAAAAATGGCTTCTACAGTATTCAAGAATAAAAGATTTTTTTTTTTTTGCCAATCTACTTAGTGATTTTACAGTTTCTTGCGTGATAATAGAACCAAAAAGAAAACAGCTCTGACATGACTTCTGGACCAAGACAGAACA